TTTTGTTGTGGTATGATTTTCATTTTAACTTATTGGTTTTTGGAAACAGAGAAATGAATGTAGATGTAGAGGAATTCGTTAAGCACTGATTAATTACAATTTCTTTCAAGAAGTTCTTATTTAGTGAGTTGAGTAGTTGAGAATATTAAATGGTTTGAAATGTATTGTTTTGCGCTTATGGATTACTTTTTTTTTAATGGCAGTAGTTCTGGCGTTGATTGCTGTATCCTTCCATGTTACGATTTAAAAAAAAAAAAAGCTTATTTTAAATCAGGTAGGAATTAACTAGTAATATTTCGATCACTGTCATAAGGAAATTTTTGTGGGTGCTAGATAGGTGCAAATAACTCGTAGGTATCATTTTAACTCTTAATTTGTGTGCTGTGTATTATGCGCATTTAGAGAATTATCTCATGTCGGAATTTCAGACCCAAGCAGGTGAAACAGGTCCATTTATTGATGAGATTTTGGGCGGACTGAATTCAATCATTTGCGACTTATCTCCGCAACAAGTTCACGTGTTTTATGAAGCTGTTGGTTGTCTTATATCTGCACAAACTGATCCGGCAATTCGTGAAAGCCTCATTGAGCGCCTGATGCAGTTACCAAATTCGATTTGGGAAGAAATTATTTCTCATGCCAGTCAGGTTGGGTGTTTTATTAGTATTTGGTAATGATATCAAGCGCAATGGATTTTGCTAGGGAAAGGACAATATTTACAGAACTTTAGTTCATAGGAACATATTGTCTTTCATAGTGCTTGAAAAACAGAAAATAGAATATCGAGGCTAAAAATCTCTTTTGCTATATACTTACTTGATTCGAAAACATTTCTGGCAACTTGACCGTTCGGTAGTGGAGTTGATTGTAAGCGAGATCTTTTATTGTCCTTTGCTTAGTGTACATTTTGAATGATTTAGGTAAAGCTATTTTTGGTGATGAAGTTTTATTGCTTTGAAAATCGTTATGGGAGAAAATGAATAAGAAATCATGAATTTTAGGATATTAATGTAATGAAAGAACAGGAAGTTGTCAAAAATATTGTAAATATCTTGAAAACAAATGTTGCTGCTTGTCGTTCGATTGGAGAGCCTTTCATTTGTCAGGTTCGCTCAATTTTAACTTTTCACTGAATATTTTAAAGGATTATTCTAAGCAAACATTTCTCATAATCCAAATTTTCAGCTTTCAAAAATTTATCTGGATATGTTGAATGTTTACAAAGTTACTTCTGAAAATATCAGTGGTTTGGTGGCACAATCAGGTGAAGATATTCTCAAACAGCCTCTACTGAAGCAGATGAGAGCTGTTAAACGTGAAATATTGACACTCATTTCAACATGGGTTGGTAAAACACAGGATCCAAATGTAAGATTTCTTACTGGGAGTAGCAGAACAAAAAATGCTGCGAATAGTATATAGGATCGATGCTCATATTCTCACCGTTTTGCCTGAGCTGTATTCTTGGCAACTAAAATTAAAGAAAGATTCAAGTTTTAGGTTGACTATTATTTGCATTTTTCTAGAGTGACGTTTTTCTGTGTATGTGTGGTACGTTTTGAAGAAAGTTTGAATGATTTCAGGTTATACTGGAAAATTTTGTTCCTCCGTTGTTTGATGCAGTTCTTTTTGATTATCAGCGTAATTGTTCAGCAGCTCGTGAACCGAAAGTCCTTTCATTGCTATCCATTATCGTTTCACAACTACAGGTATGTTGATTATTATTGAGTTTTTTGATTTTATTTCTTGAATGCAAAGGTCTATGACTTTTTATACCTTATGAACCTATCAGAGAACCAAAGATGAGAAAACAGATGTCTTAAGGGTACAGATGTTTGTATGAAGTGAAAATTCGTTGCAGTGCTGCAGTAAATTTGAATTTCTTTCATTATAGTCATCAATTAATCCGGAAGTTATTCGTATATTGGACGCCGTCTTTACTTGCACTCTGGAAATGATCAATCGCGATATGGAAGAGTATCCAGAACATCGCCTGAATTTTTTCAGTCTTCTCCATGCTTTAAATCATGAATGCTTCGATGTGCTTATATCACTTCCCCCGGAACATTTCCGTTTGATAGTGGATGCTGTTGTCTGGGCTTTCAAGCATACTATGAGAAATGTTGCAGAGATCGGTGTTCTTTTTATCTTGCGACAGTCGTAATTTTTCTCTCAATCAAAATGCTCACTAAGTATACACCTGCAGAAAGTAGATAAAACATTTTTATATTATAGGTTTGGACATCCTGAAAGATATGCTTTCACAGTTCGGCATGCATAGAGATAAAGAGCGGGCACAAACTTTCTACAAGCATTTTTTCATGGAAATACTGGTCCATGTGCTAACTGTTGTCACCGATAGTAATCAAATTAAAATTTTGGGTAAGTAAGGGTAGATTTGAAGTTTCTTTCAGCTAACGGAATTTATTTTAATATTATGATATTGTAGTTATATGTGCTTACTTTTCAATAGGGCCTTTGAAAGCCAGTTTTATTTTGGGTACAGAAACATATCTATTTTTTATCTTATGCCGTTCTCTATAATTTTTTTATTCATACGTTGTCATAAATTAATTTTATTATATTACTATTGTTATTGTTCGTACATTCATTTATTATAACTATTGCTGTTCTGAATCTTAGAAGATTTGGCGTAGCAATAATAATAATAAATAATAGGTATAAAAAATGCAACAAAAGAATATTAGCAATAAAAAGTGCAACAAAATAAATATTAACAACGTTCCGTGATTTTTTCTAGGCTTGTCATGTTATGCTGATATTTTGTGTACATTATTCTATGCAGCCGAAATGTCCATCACTGAACAACTGAATCCACCCCAGTCAAACATCGATTATATTTACATGCACATCAGTGAAACTTTTGCTCAAGCATTCGACAATCTGACGCCGTAAGTTTACATTGAAAAATAGCTTCTTTTTTTTTTGCTTCACTCCTTTTAAATTTTTAAAGATCGAAACATCTTAACATTAAAGTGAGCAGCTTAAATAAAAAGAGTTGTGATTGAACAATGGAAAACAGGAAAATAGTAATCTGCATTTTTATTCATTTGCTAAGCTAATTTTTGAACGCTTAACAATTTGTGTTTTATTTCAAATTGCTTTTAGCGATCAAATTCGTGTCACAGTGAAAGGCTTTTTTTCATTCAATATCGATTCAGTGAAAATGAAGAATCATCTGCGTGATTTCTTGGTCCAGATAAAAGTGAACTTTTTATCTTGTTTATATCACTTATAGTTGGTTATCTAAATTAACGTGTATTTGAGTTTTCATATACACTGAGTCGAAAGTTTCGAATTGGAAAACAAATTATTGAAGTGCTTTTGGTTTTTTGAAAAATTGTGGAATATCTATATTGCGTTGAAAGACTGATCGCTTTATTTCTGTTCCTCTGTCCCAGATTTTTCATTTGTTTTTTTTACAGGAGAGAGTTGGTGAAGACACATCTGATCTGTTCATTGAAGAGCGTGAACAGGAGATTCAGAACGTTCAGAATGCGAAAAAAGAGGTGACAAAGCCTATAAATTTTGAAGTTTGAAATGGAGAAAAAAGAGATTGTGTAAGCAGTCATTCGTTTTATTTCAGGTTCCTGGCATGCTGAATCCGCATGAGATCGCTGACGACGATTCGATGAAATAAAGAAAAAGTGGCGTGTTGCTCCTTCCATCGGTTGGTATCTGTTCATCTTTCGGCTTCTTCATCAAAAACTTTAATCTTTGTCCAAATAATGCATTATCAATTTTTTAGCAGTTTGCATTCTTCTTCTTATTTTCTTTATGAACAGTTGTGCGAAGTTTATTGTATGTTTATTTGTCTTTTTTGGAAAGTATTTAAATATTTATGTGAAATTGTATTTACTTTTTTATTACGTATTTGCTTATAAGTCTAATATCTCATCTGTTCGGCGACTGCTTTACTGGGTCGCCAAACACCAGCTGTTTATTGAACTTAATATTTTTCAGTCATCAAATTTTTATTTTTCCTGAAAGCGAAAATTCTCTCTGTACAAATGATTATGTTAATGATGAATTGAAGTAGTATCGTATCAAACAGATCTCCTACACAGACTATTATGCATGCGTATTCTTTCCCTTTCCATGAACTGTCATCAAAGCTCCTTTGGCCGTTTTATATGTATTGTTACAATAATTAATCTTCGTGTTTTGTTCAATTATGCCCTTCCATTCATCTCTGTAATGTTTTTTGTTAGTGCAGTTTATCGGTTTAAATTTCATTCATTCTTCCAGAATTATCTAAAAATATATGTGGAGGTAATACCACTGCATTTATTTTATTTCACCCATTTGATTATCCAAATCTGCGATTTCCAAACATCAAACAAAAATTATTTTTAAATCCAGATGATAGTGGTCTTTGAAAAACTTTTGGATTCGTGAACTTCTTCTGACTAATAGTTTCCTTTCGTAACCTCCTTTGAAAGTTATATGGCATAACAGGGAAGAGGAATTAAAGTCCAGCCTCGCAATTTAAGACAGAACTTCATCTGTTCCAGATTTCATGGATAAATGGCACCATAGACAACAATTCTTGAAAGTCACGATCTTCTTCATCTTACTTACTGCAACCTATCCTCTGGTGACTCAGAAAAAAAAGTTTTATCAACGTACTAGAAGCATAATACATATATAACATGAAATCAGGTGTAATCAATAGGATGAATGGGAAAAAAACCTTGAAACATAACTCAGTTGGAAAGTATCGAGATGAGAAGCATACTTATGGCAAAACAACAGATGAAGTTATTTCTAGCATAACATGGGAGTTCTTACGCGAAGCGAATTTTCCCACCATTTCCCTACGAGATCCAATGCTGACATTTCAATGAGCAGCAGGTTGTTACAGGAAATGAATCTTGCACAAATCGATATCACTCAATATTCCATTACACTGTTAAACATAAGTTTTCAAAACAGAAAAAGAATGATTAATGGGATCAGAGGAGAAGGAACCATAAGTTTCATGTGAGGCATGAATCCAGATGAGAATTGATAGTATTTTCCGGAACACACACATTGCACACTGGGCACGGCACACAAATGATTATGTCATGGCCAACTGGTTCGACGTTTTCAGCACTAGTTGACTTGCTACTTCCTGGAACCCTCTCTTTTGCTAAAAATCCGCCGTCATTTTTAACATTGTAATAGCTATCGTATCCTGTTTGGCTGCTGAGACCGTATTTTGTATCTCCAGATTATCTTCGACAATTTTCAGTACGACGCATTTTAAGTTTCATTCTAGTACGCTGCTTTTCGATTTGTATGCATTAAGACTGTAACCTAAGATATCTTTTAAAGGTAACAATAACTGACCTAAAACATGTCCTCTTCCAGTGAAGTATCGATTCAAAGATGTTTGCCATGTCTGAGATCGAGATTTTCCACTCGATATTCCAGATATGCTTTTCGTACCATAACCTTCCGGTTCTTTGACTTTAACAAAGTTACCTGCAAATAATCGGCTTTAGTTAAATTCTTAAACTCAGAAAACTTATATAACAAGCACTTTAGTGATACCTCCACAGGTCATCTGATGTTCCTTCCACCAAAAATCATTCTTGCCTGGAGCACGGTTCATTGATCGCTTCACCCAACCGTGAAAAGGGGGACGCATCCTAGAAAAATATAGTTTTCATCAGTGCAAAAAATTTTACAAAATTACAACAAATTTTAGTTCTTTAGTTTCATTTACATAAATATATAAAATTTATAAAAGTATCTATTACTACTATTGCTGCTAATACCATTACTGCTATCACTATTATTATACTACTACTATGTTTCAAGTTCGAGTATGATTTAGTGCACCAACATGTGCACTTATTGAATGCAGTCAAATAAATTGAAATTATATTCTTTACATCAAACTCATACTTGATGAAGTTCTTAAATAGCAGCTAGCTCACCGGCAAGGTCCAGTGCATCTCCACCAGTGCTTTTGGTGATATATCACTTCATTATGAAAATTATGATAAATAGTAATATTTGTCCCTGCACTCATATTAATACGACGCATATGGAACTGAAACATTGGTCCATGTCCATCATGATCTCTAAAAAAGCATATATATGCATATAAAAGCCGACGATAAATAATGTGAAGAATTAAATTACTAGAATTACAATAGTAGTGAGTGGAAATTTTTCAAAGCTATAAAATTCTGTCATCTCATTTCAATTCGATAAAAATTTTGATGGAAAATTTACTTGATTCCGTCGGAGAGAAATAAAGAAGCGTGGATCATTTCATGCAGCAATGTTTCCACCAGGTCTTTTCGAGGCCGATATTGCAGAAGTGGCTTACTGAGTCGAATGGAACAAAACTTATTCTTGCTTTCAAAACTACACAAACCCGCACTCCTGAAAATAAATTAATTTCAAAAATCATTAAGCATAAAAATCTTATGAGGTCATTCGAGAACTCCATTTCAGCTTACAAGGTCATTCGAGAACTCCATTTGACCTCACATGCAGCTAGTCTCCCATCAAAGAAAGTATCGTTATACTGCTGAAAAAGTGCATGCAGATCTGGAGTTGGATCGATTATTTCCCAGACAGGATCCACCAAGGAATTAGATTGGGATGGACCGATGGATAAGCTTGATGAGGCAGCCTGAAACTCGAAAATTATTACAACTACGAAAACTCGGTAAATTAAGGCAGAATGTAACCCAAAAAAACTTTTCATTCATGAACTCCATACGAATTCAGTTTCACGTGTGCACGAACATTCACATGTTATACGAATTCCTTTATACAAATGAGATTAAATGACTTACCGCCTGAAAACTGCATCGCTTTTTCTTCGATGGTGTATCTTGAAAAGTATGGGCATGTTGAAGATCTTTCAATCCAAATATCTTCTTGCTCATAACACTTCAAAAAAGTTGAAATCTTAAAAAATTCAGCGAAGCAAAATAACATTTATTGCATAACTTAGTCACAAGGTAGTCGTGGAATGACATCGTCGGATTTTTTCTTAATTCAATTGCCTAATTAAGAAGCAGTTAAATCATTTTAGAACCAGAACGATTTCCTAAAATATCTAGTTTTCAGAAATGTGGTAGAAGAAAAATTTTTTTTTTAATTTTTAAAAAATTTTTAGAAATTTTTTGCTACTGATTCCCAAACACATTCTCTTCCACCACATTCTTGAAACTTTTCTTCAGGGCATTCGCTAACATATTTCTGAGACCACTTCATATACTAGTTTTAGCAGTATCTACAGCTCCACAGCTTTATTTAGACTTCAAAACCTCAAAATCCATATTTACTTGGAACTTTTTTATCTATGAGTTTTGATGTCAAAAATAATATTGAAAATGCAAAATAGCACATTTTACAGATCTAGAAAATGTGAGAAATAGTTGTGCTTACAGCAATAATAGTTATTAAGAGTAGAATGGATTATTTAAGCCGAAAACTCCTACGTGTCTATCAGAACGCAAAAGTATAAAATATAAATGACAAGAAATATCAACCAGACTGCGTTTTCCCGAAGATATAAATCAAATTATCCCTATAGAAAGTTTTGAAAGCTGGAAAATTCCAGAAATACAACAATATTAACCAGAACAGTATTAAAAATTTTCGGAATTAGATATATACAGTCGTATTTCTCTCCAGTTGAGATTGAAGAAAATGCAAAGTGTTTTCCGATAGACAGAGTCCTAAGCTCTCTCATTACCTAAAAGCAACAAAAAAAGAAAAGCGAAAGCTGTGAAACTCGTACATGTTCGAAAACTCCGGATGTCCTGCAGCCTTTCCGAGAACCGTAAATTATTTTCAATTTTAACAGAACAAATCAGGTAACAAACAAAATTTCACTGTCCATTTTATGGCCTTATTGTAAGCATTTGTACAAAGACAATGGAAAACAAACGAACAGTTCACCATAATCCGGAAATCTTTTCGAAAATCCGCGTAGTGGAAAATAACGAAGTCCTGCCTCCAATATGAAAATCTTAAGAATCAGATCGTAGTCAATACGTTATAGCGACGCTGGATTGTTATCGTATGTTGGTATTTATGGGGACAACGAATTGCTAACGATGTCAGAAGTATGTTTTCCAAATACATTTCTAAGTTTTTAAAGTTTTAAAAAAATATTAAATTTGGAAAAAATGGGATATTGATATAATTTTGTTATTTAAAAAAAATTACTAACAAAACTACAAAAAGAGGAGCGTTGAAATTTAAAATTATTCTTCTGAATATGGTAATATAATTGTATGAAAATCTAGAGTGCAAAATTTAAAAGAAAGACGAAACAAAATAAAAGCTAAGACACAAAAATTTGTTAGTTCACATATTTCACAGAAATTGAAATATTAAACTAAAATTAAAACTTTTTTAAGATAAATAATATCACATTTGTTTATCTACGTATTTATGAGATTATTTATATTTATTTACAACATTTCAATTGTATTTCACAATATATACATATGGTTTGTTCAAACTTTTTCTTCCTTCATTAAGACGTTTTAGATTGAAATTCCAACTTTTTCGGAGCATTGGAACACAGCTGATTTGGTGAATTGGATCAATTCTAGAAAAGAATCTGTTCAAGTTATTACTTTAAACATATCCTTTTCTTGAAAAATACTTATCACTATACTTAGTTTCGATCGCAATTTATTAGTTTCACTTACTACTTACTTATCCAAATTAACATTTTTTTAACATAGTTGGTATGTCACGTTCTATTATAATTGGTATGCTACGTTCGCAGCAATCTTCTAGTTCTATCCAGAACTGGGAGAATAATCTCTATGTGTAAACAAGGCATCAGTTTTCTTTTTAGGCTCTATTGGAAACAGTGGAAGCAGAAATTGGCAGAGCAGAAAGTTCATTGGTGGAGATGAAAAATGATTTTGAACGCAGCAAGTAATGCGGTTTTTTTTATTTTTGTACCTCCTGTCCATTTCTTTTCGGTTCTCATGCAAAAATAAACTTTCGGATAATTTTGTTCAAGTCGAAAAATTTGTCATTAATTGAAGTAACGAAAGCAATTTGGAAGAATGTGCCAGATCTTGCGCCGAACTTCGTGAGCGCCTAAAATTGGTAGTGGATGCCCATGCCAAGGAACAGATTGCCAAAGAATTTGACGCTATTGCGATATATGATAAAGCCGACAGACGTGCGGCCGATCTTGTTAAAATTTTGATGGTTAGTGTAAAAAAAAACTTTGTAGATTACTGTTATTTTGAATGGAACAGTGCTTAAATGTTGGGTTTTTTAAGAATAGATATGTTTGTTTTAGATGAATAAGTAAGTCACATTTCAAAAACCAAATCGCATTGGATAAGAGAGAAACAGATTTTTCATTGCTTAATTCAAGAATAAACTGTGTGACGGTAATCTTTATCTGCAGGCTCGTAAGTTGTGGAAAGAAAATGTTATTATTATTGAGAATTTGGACGGAAATGAACCGGCACCGGAAAATGTTGTTGTCAATTTGCAAAAAGCACATGAATCTCTTTCTGAGGTTGTGAAATTTGTGGTTGCATTTTCGTAGTTTGGCATAATTTTCAAATTATCAATCAATAAAAAGTAGTACAAGTAATTGAAATTTTGCTATCGACAATTGGTATATGATTTAGTTTCTGGATGTTCCGGAACGAGCAAATTTTCTGGAAAAAATAAAGGATGTTTTCTTGAGTTGGTATTCGACGCGCATTGTGTTAGCAATACAGTCGGAAACACCGGTGGATGATCTTTTGCCAATCAAACAGAAATATGAAATGTTGCGAAGAACTGAAGGTTTTCTCGTCTTTTTCCATCGAAACCTTGGCACCGGACTTAATATTTCTTTCGGGAAGGAGAAAGCATGGATTAGTAACTATAGAATGAATGATTGCAAGCAATGCTGCATGCGAAATTTAAAAGTTTAATTAATTTCAGATTTCAATAGTGTTATCAGTCACTATGTAGAAGATGAGAATAAATTTAATTTTCATGCAGCTGATAATTTATCCGATTTATTCTTGGATACTCGTAGTACTATTATTTCAAATTATAAACGGCTAATGGATGGGTAAGTTCTTCTCTGAAGCAGTGGTATTGTAGTTAATAAAATGCTTTAATGGATAACTAATTATTTGACGAGAAGTGATATTGTGATGAATGAATTCATACATAGATAATCCATCATTTTTGATTGTAGAAGACAAGGGGAAACAATTCTCTATTTATAGCATAAATGAAATGAAGCTTAGTTTTTCGAACCAAATAATTTCTTTTCAAATCGTCATTATTATTAAAATTGTAAGATGAAATTTATAGGTTGAAATTTATTCAAAAATTTTTCAGATGGGTAGAAAAAGTTTTGGATACTGCAGATGTTTTTTTGTCGAATGCATTTAGCGGAATTATCCTAATGCGGGAAAAAGAAATCAAGGATGCATGTATAGATACAATTGGAAAGACTTTAGAAGATGATCTTTCTTGTTCGCAAACACTGAAAATGATTTTAAAATTCAGATTAGTCAGTGAATCTGTATCCTTTATCCCTATTTTTTGTAATTTTTCGATAATTCCTGCAAAACGTAGCATTTGTCCGAGAAAACTACTATTTCTGTTCGACAGTATGCAAACTAGAATAAATTTTTAGTGATTGCTAACACTTTTGACAACCCAGATAAGTAGTGCTTTATAATAAGTGAATTGATCATATATGGGCAAAGTATCTCTCCCGCATTATGAAAACCTGTTTATGTAACTTAGTTATGGGTATTTTTGGATTTCGATATATGTAGTTGAATGTCGGCAAGAGTTGCAGGTAATGTCGCAATACTTGTCACGTCCCGATGATGACAAATCCATAGCAAAATGCATTACACAATTTGGTGAACTTCTTATGTTTTCTACTGCCGGTGAATACACAAAGTTGGCGACGTCATTCCTCGCTAACTATTCAAATATTTCACTAGTTTGTTATTAACCCATTACTTAATTGTAAAATTGCAAAAACAATTGGTGCTTTCCATGACTTCAATCAGGAAACATTTCCGCCACTTCTCGTTGGAAATTATTCTTTTCAATTCCTAAAACATGTTCCAATATAGCGAGGTTGACGGTAATAGTTGAAATTGTAATGATATATTGATTTTCAGGATTCCACACATACATTTGTATGCTTGGAGCAACTTTCTAATAAATTATCACAGCTTATTCAAGAAAGTAATTATTTAATGCAAATGGCCAATGAAACATTTGGCAATATCGCAATTATTTTTTTGATACCAGCATTTCGGGTTAGTGTGTATAAAGTATCTTGTGCGTGTTTAATTTGTGTGGTATTTTATTTCATATATTCATATTGTATGGTATGTATGACATGGTGTGTAAATGTAAGTGGCGCTTCGTATATGCATATAAATATTCCATATTGAAATTTATAGTATATTTGAATTATTGGGAGATAATTAGGGGCGAAATTCCGTATCAGTCTTTGCATTACTATTAATAATCGTTGCAGACGATGTATGAAAATGTAATATCGGTGTTGGATAAATTCTATAAAACGCATATGAATAGGAATAATGTTAAAGATGAAGATGTTTTGCGTTTGGTGAGCACATCAGGTTTGTGCTTATTGTTTTATTTTTGATGAGTATATCAAGTTTGTATTTTTATGATGACTCTCGTCTGTAATTAACATTTTGTTTTATTTTTTAAGTTCCCGAGATATTTTGTTGTTTTGAAAGGCAATCTTTTCAATTTTACATTAGTGAAATTTTAGGATGGCTTTTGCAGGACAGCTTTTGACATGGATTGATAACGATAAACAGCGACTGAAAGATATGTTCGAACAATTAGGGGTTGCTGAGGCAGATCCTGCTATCAGCAGATTATCGGAGAAGTTGTACAGTGAAATTTCAAATTTTCAAGACAAATCTGGTTTGTTCATAGTTTTTCATAGTTCAAATAAGTCTGAGTTGTAGACAGATCTAATTTACATAAGAAACAGCAACTTCGTTCACCTTTTTTACAAAGGCAAACAGAGCACTTCGCAAGTGAATGTGGATGAATTCCATTTATAGATAGATGTACGAACTGAAATAGTGATACTCAGTGATGATTGAAATACAATTCAATTTTGATAATAATTAATGTAATCAAATTTAAGAGGAGCTGTATAACATTTCTTATTTTTAATTGATCGAATTTATTTACAGTTAAAGGAGAGTGTGATATTAGCTTGGCAAAAGCGCGTACAGAATTTCGGAAAATGAACAAGCGATATGTTGCGCGTGCTGTGGAAGTGCTTTCACGTACCCTGGTGAAAGATATGGAAAACGGCTTACGAAGCATTGTAAGTTAATTTTCCGTTACTTCGAACTTTCAAATTATTCCGGCTACGTATCTGTTACAATCATTGGTGAGATTATCATTAATAATTTTCGTCTCTGAATTGAAATAAATATATCTGAACTTCAAAACATAGATTTTCATGGAACTTTGCCATTTCAACCAGTATTTCGTTTTTTATTGATTGTGATTTATGGATTATTCTGTTATAGATATCGGATAAAAATATTGAGAATGCTAAAATGAAAGAAAGCACAAAAGTACTATCGTTTGGAACTTCACCCAATGAATTTGTAACTGCAGCTGGTGTGGCACTCCTTTCCTTGGCTCATCAATTGTCCGTCTATTCCCAGGATAGCAATATGGCTTCAGCTATTATGTTTGCTGCAAAATTAGAAGTTATAGGTAGGTTATTCGAAGAAATTGTAGTAGTAGAAATGCTTGAATAAGATAATGAAGATGGTTTTGGATTGAGTACTGTGTATTGGTCAGTTAAAGAAAGCTGTACTTATCATACTGTCTCATCGAAAAATTAAATTACAATATAAGTTAAATGGTGGAACATTTTTTGTTACAATAGCATCTAACATACTCATTACGAATCAAGCTGTTGGTTCAGTGGAGTATTTCTTCTGTTAATGATCATTTTAAAAAGGGTTAGAATGAGTCGATAAAGTGGTATTATGTTCCATCCATTAACAAGCCACATTTTATAGTGCTTTTCGGATATTCATGAAATTTTTACCTGATATATACTTATTTGTATCAATATGTCAGTTTCGCAGTAGATGTCTAGATAGACACATTCATAGTAAAGCCTTGACTGCTGATCTTATGAGGAAGTCGCGTTTTTGAAATTCTATGTTGATACACCTTTTTAGATGATATTCCATCATGGTGGGTTGGTAAATGTGCACTTGCTGTGCAAGAATGTTTTGTTGATACGGTTGGTGATATTGGCGAATATTCGAGTTTGCTATGCCGACAACTTTCAGTTGATTATAGTAAGTAACTTTTTACTTTTGTTTAGCATTTCATTTCTGTAATGTAAGCCGTAGCTTATATATATAACTGTCAAGTGGTAGAGTTCAATGACTGCGAAACTGAAGGAAATGGAAAGGCATAAAATATGCCATATTCAGTTTCTGGCAGATGTATTTTGCGATTATCCGATCATCATTCATAGCGAATGAGATTATTGAGCTGTTGTCAGGAAAATTTTATAAATGATAAAAGGAATTTTCGACAAATTTCTGAAGCCGTCATATTTTCATATTTTTCGGCTTCTCCAACATGAGGTATGATGTAGTTTGCAGTGCGCTAATTTCTCAGAGAAAATTTTTTCCGTTTCTGAGAGAAGAATTTGAAAATGTCTATGTCCACGAACAGATATGTAATAGTGGCCCTTGTTTATGCATTTCCTTAGATACTTGTGCAAAAATCTGATCCATTAGATGAGTGAAATATACAAATATGCAAAAGCATGGGGAATTTTCAGTTTGATAATTTAAAATAGCAATAGAAGTTTCACCATCATAATCAAGGCTTCGCTTTGCAGCATATTTGGCTGATGTATTCGAGGATTTGGGAACGACAAAAATGTCGGATTTTATTAATATGCAACAGATGTTCTCCAATGCGGGATATCTTGAATCATAAGGTTGCAGTCATTTTGTCATTTTGTTAGGTTATTGATATTCAGAAAAATCCATAATGATCAGAAAAACCCATAATGATTTCTTCCCTTCTAGTTTATTGTCTTGGATGGTTGATTAATAAATGTACAGCTGTTTTCAATAATGTTTTGGTACTGTCAGCAATTTATTAGTTGTATCCAATCATGTTTTCTTTCTTGGTTGATAGATATGAAATATGTTTTGTTATATTGCGTATTTATCTCAACAACTATAACTGATATTTCGGGACGTGTTTAATCCCTGTTTAATAATGCTAACAAACGAATATGGAAGGATGGGTAGTTACATTGATTTGGACGTAAAAGTAATATTGCTACCATAATAAGGAGCAGATAGTGGACATATTTTCTACGTATTAAATCTCTCTCTTTATACATAGTGATTCAGTCAATAGAATAAGCGAAAATACCACGTCGTTAAGTAATTCGATATGAGGCAATTGAGGAAGCGTTATCTTTTTTTTCTCTTGTTCTATTATGATTTCAAAAATCACATTTCCGAAATTTAACCTCTCACTCGGGGAAGGAATTGAAGTCCGACTTCAGTCCCAATTAGAAGGCGTTTTCTATCAAATCTTTATACAGCTTTCATTTCGCCCGTTCATCATTTCGACTGAAGAATTTAAATTACAATTGTTGCAATGTGCATCTTATTTATCATTTTATGCTATCATTCCATGATTGGGATTTATCTATTATTGATCTTTTTTTCTTGTTTATTACTTTGTTTTTATATTTTTGTTGGAAATGAATGAATTCAAAATTGAATAAAACGGAAAGAACTTTTTGGCTTGGTTCTTGTTAAAGATTATTGTAACGGCAAATTTTGCACAAATTTATCGCATAAGGATTTCAATCTTTTAGGCTTTAAACATACAGAAGTTTCTAGATTTAGAAATTTACTCTGGCATTCGTTTCTGAGAGATTATTATATAATAAACTAAATTTGTTGAGATTCTTATAAAAGCATATTAAAAAGATTTAAGGAAAGTTCACTGTTGGTGAATTTAAGATAATATGTTACATGATATTGATTATAAATGACCTTGACTAGGCCACGATAACTGTTGCATTTATGTCAAAGTTCAAAGTAAATCTTAACGTCAAACTAAAATAAGATTGCAGTGCTACTAACGTCAGTTTTTTTTTCGCATCGTAAACCAAAAATGAAAAATGCCCTGTTCAATCATTCCATTAGCAATGACTGGGATTTGAATTGTAACATTACTGGAGGGAATCAGGAGGAATTCAATGAAATAATAGGTATTCGCGAGCTGATCATTAAGTCAATTAGAATTTTCATTTCCGGATTTATAAAATTAATGATTGTCATCAAATGTGTGAGAGATTGATAAGTTCATAAAAATAGTCTTAATCTTGTTTACATTGACAACGAAAACGATGATTATATACACATATAAAGAGGAATGATGTCATTTAACCTCACATGAGCGCTCTATTACTATTCCTTCTTCCTTGTATCTTTTACCTTATTGATAAAGGTCTCACCCAATCTTCCTTCTCTTATACATGAATATACGTTAACAACAAATAGACACCTCCTTGAAATCTATCTCATCTGTATGTTATTATTACGTTGAAAAGATTTTTAGCAATTAACATTCTAATCTTTATTGGCATTATTTGACAAGAAACGTAAACATGACATGTTTTAGATAAGATCGAAAAAGAAACTAATAACATAAAACTTCAAACTTTTGTCGTAATAAATGATATTTTTAAAATATGAATCAATCAAAGATAGGTAGGAGTGCAAGTGAGGGACGGGTAAATGTGGGATGGATGATAATGAAGGCGATGATGATGATGATAGTAATAGTGATGACGATAATGAGCGTGTTGGTCCAAATAAATGTAATTGGTCGTTGGTTGATGATGGAGTCCACTTCTGATATTGATTTCCACGATGGACGAATATGCTGCGCATAGAGATATGTACAGGCAGACATACACACACATGCACACACACACACACACACACACACACACACACACATACACATACACATAGCATTCATAGCAGTAAGTAGAACACAGCTGTTTATGCTTTTCATAGTGCCCCAGGATAGAAAATGATACCGCAGTCTCTGTCCCTAACCCTATTCGTCTATATGGTGATTAGGTACTGATTGTTTATTGTGATTTTGATCGTCGAAATTAAATAATGGCTAAAATCGGAATTTAATTATTTGAATTTGAAATTTTATACATTATCATATGTCAACGTTTTTGGATGACTTATATTACGCTATGATCATATGCTACAAGTTAAACTAATTCATTAATTTTACCTTTTCATAAATTTTGGTCTTTGATTTAGTATTTTGTTTTAATTTTAATTGATAAATTTGAAGTAAATTGATAATGAAAAAAATTGGGTTGTATTTATACTAGCAAATGTATATCATGTTGAAGTCATATGAAAGGCTTACAATGTCGCAGAACTGTATCGTATCAATTGCAAATGTTAGCCGTTTTTTTCAAAACTTTATAATGTCACGATTGTGTAATGTGTCGAGCTATCGTTCTAGGATTAGTACTACTCAGAAAGCAAACCTAAAATAGAAACTAAAAGTTACCGAATGTTGTATTTCTCACTATTCAGTGTTGAATTTTCTTTATTTTTTATTCCAACAAATCCGTTTTATCTTGCGGATTTTAAACCAATGAATTTTAAAATTTGGTAAAAAAAGAATGAAACGTGGTTTTTCCTTTCTTTTTACATAAGCCTGTTAATTATCATATCTTTTAGCATTACTTTTAATTCATACCGAGTTATTTGTTTTTATTTGAGTGTATTAAAATTTAGTTGTCTTTCTAATGAAATATCATTGTGACTATTCATACGTCATATATTTCAAATTTTTTGTATCATATATATTCACTTGTTGATTCTTTCATTTTATTTCAGAATTTTTGTATTTATGCCTATTTTATATCTGCATACTTCACGTTGTTAATGCGTAATTAGGATGGCTCAGAATATGTATCGAGTTGGAGGTGAAGTCTTTAAGTTTTTCAGTAATTATAAACATAACTGTTTCATTTTTTATCTTTCAGTGTTTATTTCATGTTAATATAGCATAGTTTAATAATAATAAGAAGAAATAAATAACCTATAATTATATGTGTAAACATTTTTTTAGACTTCGTCTACTTCGAAATTTCGAGTGCAGCTCCATATCAAGTGCGAAAAATTGAAGAATTGAATAAGGTGAGAAATATACTTATTTACATCATATTTACTTATTTAATTACGTGCACACTCTCAAAAAGCATTAAAACCCCGTGAATGTTTTTACTAGTTCCTTTTTTTATTCCGTTATCAATGGTTTTCAACTTGTATCGAAAGATGAGTTTAGAAAAATAAACTTAAATTTTTTTCTAATCAAAACCTACGTGATTTCCTGGTCAGGTGAATGTGTATTATTCATACTAGGTAATATCGTATTTCTCAAATTTATGTCATAGATACTCTAGAATTTGAACACAATTTCAGACACCATCAGGAAATGTGGAAGCGAAAGTATCGTGCTTTTGTCGACGACGTGATTTGCCTACATCGTTGCTTAAAGTAGCCGATCGGGCAGAAAGAATTGGTAAGTAATTAGAGTGAGTATTACATGCTAATGCGAAGCAACGTAACATGTAGTGGTTTGTTTTAATTAAGATGCAATGAAGAAGTTGCATTAGATCCAAAAGTAAATAAACGAAAATTATGAAAGCATATGGAAAGTAACTTATTTTTAGATAAAGTGATAAATACACGACGACGCCTTGTTATTACACCATCTGCTCCTGCTGGAGATGCAAGTGATGAATCGTCCGATGGGATGAAAAAAGGTGACAAGTCCCAATCAATAATACTATTATGCCAGAAACCTTACAAATTTTTTGCTAAATCTAAGTTGCCGAAGAAAGAGAACAGTTGATATACTTTCATCGTATTTTTGAATGCTTGAATTGTTGAATGATTCGTGCAGTTGTGATCTAAAATGTTCCAATAGTCAAACTTTTTCTAGTATTTTTTCTAGGTTCTAGCATTTAATTGTCCTTAATTGTTTGAAATTAATGTGACAACAAATATAATTAATTTGCACAGATGATGAAAGTTCATCTGAAAATGGTCAGCGGAGCAACCAGGAAGCTAAAGGTGATACTACTCCAGCAACTGATACTCGTGAGGAGAGTGATTCACCGAAGCCTATGTGCGTAGATACCGGTGATGATGAAGAAGTGGAATCTGAGAATAAAGGTAATTGTATTTTATTTACTGTTGGAAAAGATATATTTTATATTCTCAGCGCATGACACATGGCGCGAATTATTTTTTCTGTTTCTAAAAAATCGACATCCTATTGGTTTTATACTCTCAGGTGTCAAAGAGGATGATGAAAAGGATAAAGACGGTGAAAAATCGAAAGAGGGTGGTTATGGTTTTGCGGGTCTTCCAAAAGGAGCTGAAAATTTGACACCGAGAGAAAGACATGTATTAAGGTGAGCTGTCTGAGATGGAGAAGCGAGTAATTTCATTCTGCGTTGCCCTGACATACGATCATAAGATTCCAAAATTCTCGCAAATTTTGATAAATTGTTAAATTTATAATTTGATAAGACTTTCTATTTTTGGAAAATTGGTGATAACTACAAAAATCTAACGAAAAAAACCATTTAATTTTTAGACAACATGAACTTTATCTTACTCGACAAATTGAAGCACTTCCAGCAACACATATTCGAGGCAAATGCAATGTAACATTACTGAGTGAAGTTGAAACTCCAGAGATGTACTTGGATCGCGATGTAAGTTTTGAGAGTTTTTGAATGGATGAAAGGTACAGATTATACTGAGATGGTCTGAAAACAGGAGATGTCGGCTTTTTTAATATAGAAAATATATTTCAAGGGAATTTTTTTCTAGGATGCTTTCTTTTATTCACTG